ATCATTTACATTATGTTAATAGATATTGCTCACTTTTCATTGAAAATAGAAGAAGGGTAAGGAAAAAAACTAGAGAATGAGAAGAAATTTCTTATTTTGAAATAAATATAAGTTTTCTTTTTCTTCATGTTCAGTTCTTGGCCGGGGGGGGGGGTATTCATTCTTGAAACCTTCTCCAATTACTTGAAAGATGAACTTACAGATCAATTTTGGATTTGTTGCAGACTTCACCCTCCATAGAATAATCTTAGAGAGAAAAAAAAAGTTTTTTTTTCTCCCCCCGACCCCCAACTGAAATTATTTCTAGAACTGAAAAGAATAAATGTGGCTCCAAGCTGTCCAGGCCCTTCAATTACAAATGGTAGTTTGTCAAGGACTTCTTGAAAGCTAAAGGTTGACATGAAAAATGGATTAACACATCTTCATATTTTAAGGAACACTAAATTCAGATTGAACATTGATTTTTTTTTTTTGTTGGATGCTTTGATAAAAAACAATTTTTCTTTTTTTTTTTTGTTTTGCAGGATTCAAAATTCCACATTCATGAGATCTTTTTTGCAAACCTTAATCAATCCCGATTCTATCAGTTGAAAAAGAATATTTAATTTCAATGATTTCATATAATATTAACAAATAATGTATTTATGAAAGTGTTTCATGAAATCTACATGGAATTTTTTTTTAAAAGCTGACTCAGTATATTAAAAACCTTAAAAATTTGCATATTTATTATTGTTTGATTTTAATACTGACATCCTTTTTCCAGTGATGGAATCTTTTTAAATCTTTGTTTCATTATCTCACACATCCCGAAACTGAAGGATACCGATAATAAAACTGTTACTAATCATAAGCTCTCACTTCTAATGAGGTTTTTAGTAACTTATGCTAATTAATAGTAATAGTAAGTTAAGTAGTATTTAGTAGTAATAATGCGTCACAAGAAAAGTCTGGGCGTTTATGGATTTGAAGTGTTTTCTTTAATCACTACAATTACACAATGGATATAAAGGCCGATATCTATCATCCATTCTAAAATTGCGAATGACATAAAAAACTGCAAGTCACTACTAGCAGCTGCATTATTTCTACTAGCAGCACAAACACTATATACTTGAACATTTACTTCAAACAATGAATTTGTGCAGGTGCATACACGTTTCAAATATTTTCTAACAACACGCTTGATAAAACAGAGGAAATAGAAAGAAGAGGAACGAAATTATGTCGAATAGTATTTGAATGTAACATTCACGACAAAGGCTAAGGACGGCCTTGATGTTTTAACATTGTTAATTCATAAGCTGACAAGGACCTAACGGTCCAACCAAGCCCCCCAAAATAAGAGAAAGAAATAACAATTTAATAATTGTAAAAACAATTTTTAAACTGACTGCTCATAATTTACAATTTACATTTACGAGTTTTAGAAACATCACTTAGTCAATGATAAGCCTCCTCATCCAAGATTCTTTCGTGTAGGTGGTTGTTGATTTTATGACAGGTGTTCAACATTAACGTCTAAAAACAGCAAATAAAACTGAAATATTTTCTTAACTTTAAAAAACAAATAATACTTGTAATTTTTTTTTTTCATCTTACAATGATGACACAAACAAAAATATTCGTACAGCTCAAAAAGCAGTTTTGTATGTCTTTAAAAGAGGGCAGATATGGCGATTAAGAAACAGCACCAGTTATGCATTTTTTTATTTATTTTTTTTTTTTGGCCAATTTCAATCCAACATTTTCCTTTTTTCCTAAAACGTAGCAAAGATTATCTCAGGAATTATGCAAAATTTCACGTGTGCACGTGCCGAAAAAAACTGTTAAATATGCCAACAAGTGAATTGTAAAGTTCATTATGAGGCAACAGTGTGGTTGACGTACATTTATTTCAATATATAGAGTTTTATTTTTAAGCCAATATTCCGAAGACGTGGGGGGGAGTGTCATCAAGTATAGGTAATGAAGTACAAGACGTCATCGTATGAACTAAAAACAAAAAAAATATATCAAACACCTTTAAAAAGGAACAAACAACAGGTTTTAACACTTTATAAACCTACACAAAAAACAAAATAATCAAGGTTGTAGACATGAAACTAGCTCAAAAAATGAAAAACAAGTTTAATAAGAAACTAAAGAACAATGAAAGAAAAAATAATTGACTCAATGAAAATTGAAAACTGTAGCTCACAAAACTACTACAGTACACTCCAACTAATAGTAGTCGAAAAATAATTCTACCTGTGTGTAGCATCTTGTTATGACTAGAGTAGGGTTTCAAATCCTACTCCAGGTCAGTTGTTAAACAATGCACATAAAATTATTAAATCAGGTGTATTTTAATGACAGATTTTCTTTGTAGACGTTTTCGATAAAGATTATTAACAGAAAAATTGTTAAAAATTAAATTACATCAGCAGCCAACCCAAACAGTACAACTTTAAGGAAAAAAAATGTCTGTGTAATTATAAATTGATAAAAAAAACTAATGAAGAATCTGTTTTTTCTTTCAAACAGATTAGTTAAGAAAATTCAACCTTTTTCTGAAGGGAACAAATAGATAAGAAAAAGAAAATAACTAGTTGCTCCAATGATAAGATTTTTTTTTTTTAATGATCATGACTATATTTATTTATTAATCTTCTCTTCTTTAAATGGAAACAGAGAAATGAACTCAACTGGGGAATTAAGAAATAAAATTAAAAATTAAATAGAAAAGATTGTACAAGTGATGCAGTGAAATTTCATCGGTTCCTCGTTTAAATGATTTTTTTTTCCTTTCTCTCTTTTTATTAAGTTTGATGGAAAAATGCAACGATGACAATTTAATTTATGCATCTCTCATAATTTATGATCAATGCATTTTGTCATTTGCATAAAACTGTAACACGGCTAATAGGATACATTTCTTCTTAAAACGATAATGAATGAGTTATGCATGATTTGTTTCTATTTTCTCCAGCCTGCCGTTTAAAATTCGCATAAATTAAGGTAATAATCGGCCTTCTAATTTTTTTTCTTCTAATCCACCATCACAAACAAAAATGATATGCATTGTTCAATGACTAACTTTTTTTTTTGCGTGCGCACATGCATGACAACAATTTTTAAGAGACTAGAATAAAAATACTAAGCAAATAAAAATATACAGATTATCGGCAAAAGTGAGAAATGGGGGTGGTGTAATTAAAGAAAAAAAAATGTTACTAAAAAGATTTAATTTTATTTCAGAAAATTAAATAAACTAAACCTGGCATATGACGACATGACTTTGCTTTCATTACAGTTCTTCAATCAATATTTTTGTTTACTTAAAAAGATTATCTATTTTAAAACAATGACCCATTATTCCAGACGTTCAAAATTTGCGCAATCACAAGAGAAATAAAAGAAAAAGAAGTTATTAAAAATTAAAAGTGCAAAATGTTATATCCAGACCCATTGATTATTTTATTTTGATTTATTGAACAAGACAATTTATAGATTTTCTAGGAAATAAATGCCATGAGTACATGACAATGACATTAATTACTAATTCGTACTTGATAAAAGAAAAAAACTTTAATAAACAAAAAAAATAAATAAATGACCAAAGTGGTCAAGCAGGGCAGGATGTGTAGGCGAGTAACATTGACTTTACAACACATCGACTTTGCGTGGGCAGAAAGTTGGGTCGATTGTTGGAGGAGATATACTATTTTGATCAGTGACTTACATCAATTTGATTTCAAACATTTATTGCAAACCATTTTTTTTTTCATTTTCGATTAAAGTAGGGAAAAATAAGTTGTATGTTCAAGAAATGGTAGCTTCATAATTAATACTTGATCAGGACAGAACATTTATTGTGGACATAAGACATGGGTACAAGAGGTGACCTCCCTACCCGTCAAATGACAGAATTATTCTTTAAATAATTATTACTTCATTTACAAAATCTGTGTGCTTTTTTAATAAACATTTACTTTTTGGAAAATAAATAACGAGTTTGGCTCATGTGAACAAAGTTTAGGCAAGTTTAATTCTCCGCTGTTCTATCGTCATTTAAATTAAGCTTAAAATAAAATTACCTAAAAAAAGAGGGCATTTTTTTTTCGTTTCCTCAGGTTTAAATTTTGATAGACTAAACAAAAGAAAATGTTTTATCGCAAAATGAAGTGTTGACCGCATAAGATTTTAAAGAGATTAAATTTTATTTTTATATTGCAAGTTTAAACTAAACACAATTCATAAAGAATTAAGAAAGGGTGTTTTTAAGAGTGTTTAAAAAACTGAGTTTACTCAGACTTTAAAAAAAAATCCTATCCTTCCTCAAGAAAAAGACAAACAGCATATTTACGAATTTGTCTTTTTTTCTTCTTTTTACTTCCGTCTTGACTTTTTGTTGTTGACATCACTCACTCGCATTTTTTGGTAATTATTAAACTAAGTTTTACTTTTCAGTTTGTCTAAAAAAAATCTTTAGAAAATGTTAAGAGACATGTTAGTTTGTGACTAAAATTTTAGAGGTCATAAAAACGGAATTTTAATAAAAGGGCAGATTACAAGAAAAGAAGTCAGAGGATCAATACCGATAAGAATGACAAAATAATCGTAACTATTATTATATTATGGCAATTTTCATTCGGATCAATTTCAAAGTAAACGACACAAAGTGTCAAAGACTCAAATTAAAAATGCATTTTTAATTAAAAATAAAATAAAAATATAAATTCGACATTTTAGGATAAAATTTAGATAGCTTTTTGTAATTTTTTTTTCAATAATCTAGAGACGAAGCAAATGGAAAAAGGTTACCCCGAAAAAATATATATATATATATATATATATATATATATATATAAGTTTTTGTTTTCTCGTGATATTCGGAGTGACATTTTCACCTTTAAACTAGTTTAATTTAAATGGAAAAGAAACGGTATTAGCGTGAACAACGACACTGACAAATGAGACAATATAGCAAGAATTAGACCAAAAGAAGAATTTAAAATTTAAAAAGGATTATATTTGCACATACTTCCCCATTCTTTGGCTGCGCAGACAGCTTTAGTGGACACATCTTCAATAGCTTGCTTGGCCGCTTCAATTTTCTCGTCTACCACATCGGGACCCTCGGCATCTTCGTCATCACTACTGGTCAGTAGCGCTTCGTCTCCGGCCCCATCCGAAGGGACCCTAAGCTTCTTCTTTTTCTTGGGTTTGCCAGGCAAAGGTGGAATAGGTGGAATGGCCGTGTCGGACCCACTCAATTCATGCTCAGAGGCCGATTCAGTCGGAGGGGAATCTTCCCCTCCTGACGCAGGAGGTGTTGGAATCGTGGTGGCCGATGTTGGTGCAGCTGCCGTGGCACCATCAGCGCCAGATTCCTCAGTCTTAGAAGCATCTTTTCCTTCAGGGGTTGTTTTGGGAGCTTCTGTTTGGTCCTCTGCTTCAGGCTGTGCCTGGCCACTGGTACTATTCGGTTCGTCGTCTCCTTTCTTCTGGATAGCTCCCCACCAGCTGGAGACGGCATTGAACATATTGGCTGTGCTTTTCAGCCGGTTGCCTACCGAAAACGACTCCACTTTGGCTGTTTAAATGTAAACCGAACTAGAAAAAAAGTCTTTTGAGGTTTGTATCCCCTAAAATTGGTGCGATGGTGACGCACGGTCAGTAGACCAATTTGTAAACAACAACTCGCTCTGCCATTCACACTGACGTCATGGTAAAAGTAGACCCGCACTTAAGGACATTCATCGTTTGAGTAGCGGGATGAGGTAATAATAATGAGGAATAATAAAATTGTTACAGCTCCGCACTGAATTACACTAAATAGCGAAGGAGTGGGATGAAACTACAGCCACCGTTGCTCATCCGACAATAACGTTGAGGCTTTAATTAAATATCGTGACGATATACTCAAAGAGTTTAATCTTAAAGGATTGTTTTACCACGTATTTAATGATACAATATTTCTTTATTTTTTTATAATAATAATAATTTGAAAATTATTGCCAAGTGAATTGGAGGAGGAGTTTATAATAATAGTAATGACATCAAAATGCAGCAGCAGCTGTGATTTTGTCGTGTTCAAAGTTCAATAGGAATTCTTGATGATAAGTGGAAATTTAGTAGTAGAGATTTAAATAATATTCATGGTGCTATTAGGGAAATAACATTTAGATTTTCTAGTTCTAAGAAAATATACTTGGTCATCATGCGTCTATTTTAAATTTATGACACAAAAATATTTCTTTGTTTATAAAAGATCTTGTGAAGAAAAGAATAAAAGCTTTTTATTTAGAAATTGTTGCTCGTGATTAAGGGAAAAAGACGAAGAATTAGCAGATAAAGGAAAAGGGAAGAAAATAGGAAAGAAATGCAACGAATTTTAGATACAAAAGAGGTGGCTTGACTGGGTTGCAGGTAAAACATAGGGTATTTCATTGATTATTGGATGAATCTTGCTTTGTAATTAAAGCACTGACTGCTTCCTCACACCCAGCTTCTCACACACATAATTCTTGTAAAATTTAAATGCATAAGCCAGTGATTTTTTTTTTCGAAAGTAATTTAGAATTATTTGTTTTTAGCAACTTATTCAGTAGGTTTTTAAATTAGAAGCTTTCAAGACATCACACTGAACTTAAGAAGATCTATCAATCTCGTTCTGTTCATTATCTATCTGTTCATTATCTATCTATAATCTATCTCTCATTCTGTTCATTATCATCTCTCATTCTGTTCATTATCATCTCTCATTCTGTTCATTATCTATCTATCTATCTATCTATCTATCTATCTATCTATCTATCTATCTATCTATCTATCTACCTACCTACATACATACATACATACATACATACATACATACATAACATAACATAACATACATGGTGGAAATTGATTCGTGACCGAAAGACCACCCCCTGGACTCATAACTCCCAAACGAACATTTCAGGGATGACTTCGGTGTCGTTGATGGATGTATGATACGTACGTACGTACGTACGTACGTAGATGTAAGCTTAGGCATATATCACATGATGAATTATTGATTAGATTTATTATGGTATTTTTATCATAAATTATGGCAGTGTCTTGACAAGGTTTTGAAAATTTGTTTTATATTTTTCATTTTAATAATAATAATAATAATTTTTACAATATGTTATTGTTATATAACATTGTCATTCCTTTCTTACTTAAGTGTCTTTTTCTGCAATTATGTAATAATTTTTTTAAAAACGTTCGAGATAAAGAGAGAGGAGAAAAAAATCACGTGTACAGAGCAACAAAGAAGACACTTTTTATGCCAAGTGCGTTAGTTTTTTAAAGAACAACCAATGACAAATGTATCTCAGTTTAATTTCCTTGAATTAAAAAAAAAGCGGAATATAATAAAAAAAATTGCAATTGAAAATCAGAAAAATAAAACGATAAATTATTTAATAAATTCTAAAAAGAAAATAGCAACATGAAATTTCCATAGGAACTGGGATACAAAAATAACACATCTATCTATCTATCTATCTATCTATCTATCTATCTATCTATCTATCTATCTATCTATCTATATGTTAAAACATTAATCAGGAAGCATCATTCCAACTGGACAGTAGGTCCTGTTGGGAAAACCACTTTATTACTCTCAAAGTAGAAGTTATGGCATTTCATGATGTCTGCTGTTTGATATGAATATCTCTCGGACAATCAAAGAGAGATCACATCAAAAACCCGACCTTTGGTTTCATGTCGATTTTCGCATCATAAGCCTTGCTAAGACATGCAAATAATTAATGTCCCAAATAAATAAGATTATCTTTTTGGACAGTTCTTATATTTGAATTGCTTTAGTCTATATTGCATGTGATGTACTTAAATACGTATTTCACTCTTTATGGGCACTTTGTGTGCGCCAGTTATGACATGTGCACGCAGCACGTGCACATCCGACATAGATAGATAGATAGATAGATAGATAGATAGATAGATAGATAGATAGATAGATAGATAGATGCGCATCACTGGTGATATTGTGGAATTAGTGGTTTCAATTTTATTTGTCTTTCGATTCGAGCGCAAATAGACAGCTACACGTCTGGCTACTTCCGATTCGTCTGCTTTAACGCGGTCCGTTTTTTTTCTCCTCGCCAACACCTTCAGCGCATTCATTCATTAGATACATCATCATCATCATCATAATCATCATCATCATCATAATAATAATAATAATAATAATGATAATAATAATAATAATAAATTAGCATTAAATTTCTTTTTAAATAATTCAAGTGCAATGAGCAACAGGGCGGTAAGTTGAAAAGAATAGTTCTTTTTCTTTTCCTTTTTTTTCTATTTCCTCACCCCCTTTCGGTTTGTCTGTTGTTTTTTTCCTTTTTTTTTTTTCTTTATGTCCTCGTAGCGACTTAGTGTCTAAGAGCAGGATGAGAATGAGAAGGAAACAGAGAGCGCACGTGTGCCTGTGTATTGTGTGGGCGTTGCAACAATGAAGGGAGAAATGGTGGGTGGGAAACGAGCCCACATATGATAGTGGCTGATCAGCAACAGAACCCTTGCAACTAGCGTCGGCTTCCATCTCAGTCATCCAACTCGTATTGCAACACACCACCACATTGTCATCATTTTACAACACGAAACGGAATTCAATTAATGATGATATTGATAATTTTTATTTATTATTTCGGGGGGGGGGTCGTGGAAGAGTAGAAACGTCAATTGTTTTAAAAAAAATAAATAAGTAACCGTCTTGATGCAATATTAAAAATTAATGCAAACAAATTCGCATAAAAACAATTGTTACAATTCTGAACTTTTACAACGTTACTTTTACAGAAAAAGAAAGAAAAGAAATTAGTGCTTTAGGTCATGTGACTTTGTTTAACAAGCTTTTTTGATCAAATAACGATTTTCTGGTTCTTTATGCGCGATATGTCTTTGTTCGTTTTTTTTTTAAATTTTTTTTTCTATTATTTTTCTTATTTGCTTACGGATGGTCTACTCTAAAAATATTAATATTGCTTTCAATAAAAAAGAAGTACTTTGAGATTTTATTTTTAAAGTTTCTAATCAAATTCATAACAAAACAAAATAGCTTTTTTTTCTTTTACCTTCAAATTAAATTACTAAAGTAAAGTTTGTTAATTTTATTTATTTATCTATTTTTGGATGCTTTTTTAATACTCTAGTAAGAAGGCAGTGCTGTAATTTATTTTACTGCACAAATATATAACGATTCTCTTTAACCTTAAAACATCTATTATTCACTATAGTTTTTAAAGCGAATATTTTATTAACCAATTAATATTCTTTCCTTTCTCTATTTCATTGACTTTTGTCAGGATATCAAAAGCATGCAGTGTTCAAAAAAAGTGTAATGAATATTTTTATTTTACACAATAGTGAAACTGCATTAAAATCATGTCCCAAGAATGAAATTTAAAAAATAGATTATTAAATGACCAAGGGAAATTATAAAACACAGAAGGATCAAATTGTGCAATGATTAATTTTTTAATTGATGCCATGTAATTTAGTGGGCTTTTTTTCCCTTTATTTAAAAGCCACATCCCTTCAGGTTTATCAGGGATCTGTACAACTTCTTTTTCTTTATTATATGTGATTTTGCATGACTTTCTAGCAAAGATAGTGGAGTGATTTCCCTTTTCCATTTCCACAATTTGGAGTTATCCTTCTCCTAGACTTGCTGCCACTCAAGGCTACACTTCTATTTTACCCATAGCTGGGAGGTGAAGAAATGAATTAACATCTATCCTAAGAGTATTAGCGAGAATGTGCATGTGACAGACTAGACTGGAATTTCAACTCAGCTTACCAATTCTACTTTCTGTACCACTAGGCTACCTGCAATTGTCTCTTTAGTTAAAATAAGAGTTTATTTCTTTCAATCAGTAGGCTAATATATTGCAGTTACCAGGGCTGGAGCAAGGGTCTCATAACCCCCACCCCCTCTAAATCTTTGAAGCTCACCCAAATCTATGATATAGAGTCCCTAATCTACTACATCACAATTTTCATATGGTACTATTCATATAGAATACAAATTTTATTGTAAACTAATATGTACAATAATGGATCATATGCAATATAGGTGAATAATTCAACTAGAAAAATTGAAAATAAATATAATGTCTCTAAATACAAATAGATCATTCTATCTTTAATAAATCAACAATGTTTTGTGGCAATTTTTAGCATCAACTTGAGATTTTCTTGTTAAAAAGTTGAATAATTTTAACACATTCAACATTATAGATAAAAATAATGAATTTTATATAATGTTTTCGCAAAATTTAACATTAGCAAAACAAATTCATGGGTTTGGATGAAAAAAGGCCCCAGAATAACATCAAAATCCGCAAAAAAATTGTCATCCTTTAATAGTCAGTTGTGCTTAGTTTAATTTGTAATATATATAAACATAGGTAGAAATAAAGCAAATGTTGATAAGATAGCAAGGTTTACAAAGCACTGCTCAGAGCCCCAAAAGTTTGGGCCT